CGTTGTGGGAGCTACCAGAATTGCCTCCGCGAGCTACCGGTAGCTTGCGATCGACAGGTTGGCGACCACTGGTCTAGAGGTATGGTATTTGTGGACATAACAAATATATCTGGGTTCGAATCCCACCCACGACAGGCTTTTCCAAATCTCCAAATATTTGTTTTCACCCTTGGGATTCGGGGATGGTCCTAATAATTCGTATTTGTTTCCGAATTTTCAAATTATTTTTAGTTTTATCTGTTCTATCTGAATGCGAAAAATTGCCCACATATTCTGCGTATTCTGGTATATCCGAAAATGCCTCGTTTCCGACATACAGGAATTTAAAGTTGAAAAAAGCTTTAGCCATTTATAATGCTGACATATGTATTAAAGAAAAGTTGTAGATTAGGGTTGATATTTTTTAGTAAACGTAATTATATTTTGAAAGCACTTATTGCGTTGATTTTGTTGTAAAGAATATTTTCTCTCAAATTCTAGAACATCGCCATCCTTAAAAAGCACTGTTCATAATTTGCTATCTTTATTATTTACAAATTTACGGTATTTTTTTTTTAAATTTAATAAACTACTTTCAACAATTTTCATTATTACATTTTCTGTTTATCCTTTTTATAATTTTATATTTATAATATCATTGGAATGCTAGAACGAAACATTATTTGTTTTAGTACATCTAATTTAAAAGGTGCTCTATAGAATATCCCATTTATTCAGACTTTAATGATAGTAATTTATCTATATATAAAAATGAAATTAGCGTTTGACTGGTACCATTAAATAGCATGTCATATCTCATAACACAACCACACCTCACTCATTTTAACGAGCAAATATTCCATAAAACAGTAAGAACCATTTACTCTTTCGATAAATTTAATGGCCAAAGAAACCAACAACAGATAAAATCAGCATGGTGTGAATACCCTGTTAACTCAACAAAAAAGAAAACGCCATTGCCGTCTGTACGGTATATACAAACCGACTATTATAAAAAAAGTGGAAAGAGGAAAGAACAAGCTGGTTCGATAGGATCGACTCGAATTATTTCCCTCACTAGCAGTTATTAAAGACTTTTTTTGTGGTCTTGATGGCGGTTCGTCACGCAATCTCGCATTTACCTTGGTCGTAATCTACGACGGCTGTGGAGCAGTAGTTTTATTGAAAGAAACCAACATTAATAATATCGGTAGTTGGCACGATTACTCTTTACTTAGCTCACTTGCTGGGGAACGTTTTGAGAAATTCCTTTATTAATAATGAGGTATATAATTTTTATTGCACGAAGCCATTTTTTTTAATTTCACCTAATAATAATCTATTTTAAACAATTTTTAAGGTTTATCTTTCCCAACCAAAAAAGTAATCTTGTGTTCAAAAATTTGGACGTATTAAAAAGAGATAAATAAATGTTTCTATAATTTCGTGCCATTTACGACCTTGAATTTTGAAATTTCAAAAATCTGTTGTGCCTTGTACAGCGAAAAACTTAATTTTTTAATATTTTTTTTACGTTTGAAACATATTAAATTTTATTTTTAAGAATATCTGGCTTATGCACAGGACTATTTTTGGATAACCTATGCCTTTTAAGTCTACTAATCAAAACTACCAATTCCACTATTCAAACTCGGACCTTTCGCATGAAAACTCATTACTTTATCTCTACACTGACGAGAAAAACCACTTCTTTTTAATGAAGATAATTAGATTTAAATAAAAATACACCTCTAAACAAAATATGGTATTTTATTAAAAAGATATCCAATAAAAAATACAACGGTAACAAAACACCCGTAATTGACAATTTATTATAATTTTTTGCTTTTGATACTGTTTTTAATTTTCCTCAGATTTGAAAATAAACATTAACGACTCAATTAGCATTCACAGAATTAGAATTCGCCATAAACATAAATTGCAAAAGTACACCTGGCAAGGATATGATCAGTTACAATTAAAAAAAAAAAATTCAGTTCAAAGGCTAAAGAGAAGCTGCTAACCTTTTATAATGGTTGGTGGAGGAAAGGTGAAATTGCTGATCAAATTAAAGAAATCGTTATCACATTAATCAAAAAACAACAACATCCTACCGTCCTATATCCTTATTATCCTGTTGACAAAAACTTATGAACGCATGATAAATTTAAGGCTAGATTGGCATCTTGAACACTTTTCCAAATTACCAGCAACCCAGTATGGATTTCGAAGAGGAATGGGAACAATTGAAGCTGTCTCACATCTGGTAACAGACATACAATGTTCTTTTTCTAGTAATTCCTATTTGGCCTGTTTATTTATTGATCTAAAAGGTGCATACGAATCTGTTGACTTAAATATTTTAATGGATAAGACGATAACATTAGAAATAGGAACGAAAGCATTTACTAATGTTGTCAAACTCTTTAGTAACCGTAAAATATATATTAAAGTCCAAAACAATAATCTCCATGGACCTAGATGGATACACCAAGGTATTCCACAAGGAGCAGTTCTCAGTCCTCTTATTTTGTATGTATATATCTACGATATTCATAGCCTACTTGACAAAGATATAAAATGTGTTCAATATGCTGATGACATTTGCTTTACAGAACTCCTATTCTCGCTGTATTAAACAACTTAAATACGCAGTCTATTGCCTTAAGAACTGGTTTAGTGAGCACAACTTTGTTATTTCTTCTGACAAATCTGCTATTATAGTATTTACGAGACACAGATTACAAACCCCTCTAAGTGTGACTCTGTGTGGACTAGAAATTCCTATAAAAATGCAATACATGCAATAAATGCAAGGGTGTTTCAGAACTATGGGATCAAACTTCTAGGGGTTTTTTAGTGCAACAGTAGAAAACATTTGAGTATAGGGACCCATATTCGGAAAAGTGTCACTATGACACTAATTTTTGCCTTTTGTACATGATATCATCACAATTGTTCAAAATGTCTTATTATTTTTAAATCGTTTTTCCCATATAAATTTAAAACGGCATATGCGATTTTGCTGAAATTTGGTATATTGGTAGAGTTTTATGTGGCAAAAAAATGGTATTAAAATTTTGTCCGATAATAATACATAGGCGTAGAACTTGATTTTTTAAATAATTTCACCTTTAAAAATTCTACGCCAATGGAAGAAAAGGAGTTTGAGTATGAAATTTAGATTGCGCAACTCATTTACTTTAAAAAAGGTACTCTTGATAAGACTCGATTACTCTCATGGTTTTGACGAAATTTGCATTTTAGTAATTTTAGAACATAAACAATAATTATTAAAATACAAACTTTGTCAAAACCATGAGAGTAAATCGAGTGTTATCAAGGGTACTTTTTTGTAGTAAATGAGTATCCAATCCAAATTTCATACTCAAACCCCTTTTCTGCCATTGGCGTAAAATTTTTAAAGGTGCAATTATTTAAAAAATCAAGTTTTACGCCTATGTATTATTATCGGACAAAATTTTATACGATGAAAAACATAAAAATGTACTTTTTTCATATCTTTTTCAACACCTCTAATCGAGACTTTTAACAAAAATACTCGATTCTTGCCATGTACGATTTTTTGAGGAATATTAATTATTTGCCTGCAATACGTATACAAAAACATTTATTGTTGGTTTCCATAGTTTCATCTAAATAAAAATATTGTCAAGTTTTAACACCTAATCTCTTGTTAACGATTGAAAGTGTTCTATCTGACTCAATAATTAAGAAAACAAATGCGTGGTTTATTAATATGGCTGTACAATATACCAATGCAGAATATACCGATATGTTACTGACATTAGGATTTTGTGAAGGAAATGCTCGAGAGAGTGTCAGGGTGTACTCTGAAAGGTTTCCAAATCGTCGTGTACCTAGCCACCCAACTTTTGCTGCTATTGAGAGACGTCTTCGGGAGACCGGTTCCTTTGCTCCCAACACTGTTGATAATGGAAGAGAACATTTTGTAAGGATTCCTGAAGTTGTCGTTGCTACTAATCGTTTGGTGGATTTAATAATAATAATAATAATACTTACTCTCTTTAATTCACAGCCTATTAACTAAATCAACGTAAATATAATTTTCATAAAATATGTTTGCACCTAGCAACATTTTTGTACAACACCGGTACACAACCATAAATTAATATCATAAATTAATTCGAATACAAATTTCCTAACACCTCAAAAATTATTACGAAAACATTTGTATAAAAGTAGATACAACCTATAAATTATGTTGATGTAAACAACTTTAGTCCACACTGACTACAAAATGTTAACAAGCAATTTTCTAATTTGATTCAGTGCCGGACCGATTGAAAAATCCCATTAGTCAAATTCTATTACACGAAAAAAAATAACGTATAATTTATGTAATCGTCTATAGATGAGAGAAACAGAGAGAGCCAATTTGCATATTTATAGTTGGTTAGATAATCACGAGTTCAAAGTTTGGAGAATAGATAGGTAGGTACCTACATTGTTAATTTAAGTTTTGATGAGGATTCAACAATGGTTAATTTATATACACTTGATTAGATAAATCAGTAATTCTAGAGATGCAAGTCGTCGAATTCCTGTTTGGGTGCCAAATACGTGGGCTATTCTGAATGTACCGGCGTGATAAATAATCCGAATGGAATTTTATTTAACTAAGCATAGATGCATGAGATTCTTTTAGCCATGCGTCAAATTTTTATGCTCTTAAGAGTTTAATTTCAGGGGAAATTCACAGCAGGTATTTCCTCTAATGCCCCCACATCAAAATATAGAAATTATTGCACTCATTACATTAAAAATGTAATTTTCATCTACTATACTAGTATTTAAAAGGGTTATAAAACTATAGACGACTCTTCCAGATAGGCAAGAATATTTATTTAGTGTTTATATAATCGAAGACATTAATATATATGTAAAGACTTTTTCATAACTATCATGAAATCATTTATTTATATAGTTATTTTTGTTATATTATTTTCAATAATTAATTATATTTCGTTTTGTTTCAGTATTACGAAATGTCTTATGGTCTCAACGTTGAAATGCATAAACAGGTAAGCAAAATATTTCAAAACATATCTAGAAAAATCTCTTCCACATCGACCGTTTATTTTCTTAAAAATCGTTTGATAATGACAGCAGCATTTCCCGCTTAGAATAAAAAAGGAATTAGAGGAAAAATAACGATGCAGCATAATCGAAATCCAGATTAACCGTTAAAGTGGATTTCCGTGTAGAGATTTGCCGTTATACGGTATTCAAAATAATAAAGCTATTATCCGATCTACTTTGAATCTGAATATTTTACATACTCGCGTTCCAAACGGAAATACTAAGGAAAATGAAGAAAATCAATCGGGAAAGTGGACGAGCGTGTAAATGAATTAAGCCTGAGTGATATGTGTTCTAAAAATTGCATAATGTATTATTTTATATCTATTTAAAAACTTATCAGTAGTAATATCCCAAGGCTAGCGGTAATTAAAAATATTTTTTTTTACTTACCGAAAGCACGTTGTTTGAGATATTTGAAAAAAAAAATTGTGAATATTTATCACTGACCGGTATTCGGTCAGAAACTTTTTGGCACATTTTAACTCATTTATTTAAAAAAAAAAGAAACTTACAGTCCATAAAGATTTGACTGTACATTCTATAAAGTGTTGACTGTACATTCTTTAAGTCGGTATCATCTTTTTTTCTTATATTAACTGCCCAATCGTTTAGTTTCAAAGTTAGATCTTAAATACTTCCATTTGCATCTAATATATATTTTCTTTATGCTATAACTCGAATTTAAAAAAAAAATGACTACACCACTGGATTCTTATCAAAAAAGTACGCGAAGAAGCTATAAATTATTTTCTTCTACTTTCATAAATAAACGTTATATGTCATATAATGAAAATTTGAAAAAACGAACTTTTATTTATAACTCGAAAACAAAAGACAATATCTATTTTTTGAAAATGCCATTAAGTTTTTCTCGAAAAAAGAGATCGATAATGGGAGATCTATTTTTCAATACCATTTATAGTTAACGAGATTCTCTATTAAAAGAGCGAAATTTGCCCACCCTGTACAGAAGCTGAAGTTAGGAAAGTTTTCAGATAATATATCAATATTTTCCCTTAAGGAAATGTATTTGTCGGCGATGTAGGTGGGAGGTATATCGCACCATTAATGAGAGGGTGCTTGGTCGAATCCTTAGCAACATAATGATGATTATACAAGGTGTCCCGAAATTAGGTAGTCATGTTTGAACAGCGTAATCCACATCCTAAAATAGGAGTTAAATTTTATTTAAACATATGTCCGAAAACGTTTTGTTTTCGAGATACAGGATGTTAAAAGTAAAGTCCTGATGACACATTAGTACAAATGCAAAACTTTTTAGGCTCTATTTAATTGACTAAACGTCAGTTTTTGATCATCTTCATAGGTGGGTAGATTTGGGGAGGGGCCTAGGGTTAAATTGTTTTAATTTTTTTTTGTTGACTGTTTTTAACATTTTTGACTACAACATTTGGAAAACCAGAATTTTATTTATAATACTGCTTTTGTTGTATCTTGTTAGGACGCACCATTTTCAAGAGAAAAGAATTTGAAAATTTCATGATAAGTTGATGTTATCTTATTCGAAAGTGTAAACAATACTTAGTAGGCCTGTGGAATCAGAAATTTTATTTCTTTTAACTTTGGAAAACCGGTGACTAAAGAAATTTTAGAAAATATTTAAAAATATGTGCCATTAGGACGCTGTTAAAATATGACCGTCTAATTTCGGGACACCCTGTATACTTATAATGTATAAAAATTGTACCCAAATATGAAATAACATCATATAAAATATAATGTAAAAATAATTCAAGCTCATCTAACAAGACACTGTAAATTCTGAGGAAATCTTTTTACAACTTAAATAATTCAATAAAATTAATTATCGTTTAAAAACTAGAATCAATAAAAAAAATTGCTTCCAGTTGTCAAACTCTCTCTAAACTATTATCTAAAAATTTTCGCAACCTCTGTATATCACAGTAATTATCCCATTAAAAATTCCCTCCAAAAAAACAAACAACTCGTTATTATTTTTTTTTTTTAATTATTAAAAACCCCTTACTTAAAAATTTTGATTGCAACCATAAATAATTTGAACATTTTAAGCCTAATTATCTTAACTAATTACAGTTATACGGTTACTCCATATCTATAATAGTTTTTAGGTACATCTACAAATTCTATACTAATCAAATAATGAGATTGTTCATGTTGTTCACTAGATGTAGCACACAAAAAACGTTATGTTAAAAGAACTTCACATTAAAGAAAATGCTTCCTTTTGGTTATTTCTAATTGTCTTTATAAGAAATATTTTAGATTCGGACTTATTTTAATGGTTTTTTCCACCTTTACAAAATCTCAATATGGCTCCAACTTCTGATTTCTTTGTGTAAATTCCAAACTGGTTCCTCTTCATGAATGGTGGTATGAAATTTATCACTTTATTAATGGAAATTTGATTTACTCCTAGTTTACAATCTAATATTGGTTTAAAAAAAATTATCCTCATTTTCAAAATGTCTACTTAAAATTTCCAAATTGTTGATAGCTCTCCTTTGACTACCCTATTATCAAGGAAAAAAGAAAGAAAACAAAAACTAATATTACTGATTTCTATTGACTAAATGGCCCAATAAAATATTTATAATTTTGTGACGTCATTCCTATTAAAGTATTTATAATTTATTTTTATTTGATTCAACTATTGTTTAAACATTTTTTTTTAAATTTGAATTCTGAACTTAAATATTTTTATACTAATTTTCTTTACTTGTCAAATTTTGTATTAAGTTTTATTTATATTTATCATCGAGTAACATGATTTAAGTATATGGATCAAATCACTTTAAATCTTTAGAAGACATACAGGCTTGCTTTTTCTTGATTATTATTATTTACCTAATTTGTTTCCCTCTATATTATGTTATATTCTTGTACATTTATTTATATCCTTATTTTATCTTTCACACATTCTATTTCTTCACAACATTTTATCTAAACTTAATGTTCCCAAGATGCGCAGAACAAAGCTACGACATAATCGCCTCGAAAGATCCCATCTCATCTGACCCCAGCACCCTAGCATCCCCAATTCCACCACAAATCTCCACGCCTCGACACGGCGACGGCAATTAAGCAGTAAGCGAAGATCAGTTACTCGAGGCTCCTTCTACAACACCGACGGCGAAGTTGAAGTGCTTGTAAATCTCCCAGTCTGCCAGTCCTTCGTATAGGTACGGTGAATAACGGCAATGTAAACTTCCTCGCAACTCCAGGAAATGACTTCTGTTCCGGTTTCGGAGTCGCGACCCGCCCGGAACTTTTATTGCGGAACACGTTTATCAACTGAGCCATGTGTCATTGCGGTATCGTGGAAAGAATTACGTATGAGACTCGAGTGGCGTTCCGTGTTAGGTGAAAGATTCATCTTGGTGTTGGTGGTGACAAAAGGAAAGAGTTGTAGCTAGGGCGCTAATGCGGGATTTTCGAGTTTTTGTTTCTGGAAGAGCAACGAGTAGTTATTTTTCGCCGGTTTTATACCGGAGGTAATTTGGTCCAGAACCGGCGAAACCTAACTACTCGAACCAGTGGAGACTCGTGGGGTGGTTCACAGTGACAGAATATAAGTATCAGTACAGATGTATGAAAAAACTCTCAGTGTTTTATAAAGTTTATAATATACATTTCCAAAACACTGACAGTTTTTTACCTATATCTGTACCGGGGTCTATATTCTGCTACTGTGAACCCCCAAAATTTTGGTCACAAGCTGCCCCTGACTCTAACGATTTCTTATTTATAACGCCACAAAAGCTCTAATGATATGCAAGAACATTGCAGGAAATATATAATGTAACTCGAACACCCTACACAGTAAATAATTTAGGCATTGTTATTTATTTAGGCTTTAATATGACCCTAATTCCATAAATTTTAATTACCATCCAAAAATCTAATTTTAAATATGTTAAAAGTATTTTGAAGTTCACAAAATATTCTGCCGAAGTTAGCCTAAAAAGATGTTAGAATCTATTAGAATCTACTAGTATTTATTCTTTTAAAAATCATGTTGTATTATTGATATATCGATACCTTTTTGCTAGACTATCGTAAATGTCGTCTTTACTTTGAAACTTGGAGCTTATTTGGAGAAACTACATAACCTGGAACTTGGAGCTCGCACTTGGAACTCGGAACTTGGAGAAACTATGTAACTCTGAGCTTCTTGGAGAAACTACGTAACTCGGACTTGGAGCTTAAAGCTTGGAGTTTCTTGGAGCTTCTTGGAGCTTTTTGGAGTGGGAGCTTAAAGCTTGGAGTTTCTTAGAGCTTCTTGGAGCCACTACAGGTTTACAAATAAAAAGAACCTCAGTAACAGTAAAAATACATCTACATGCCAGTTTGGAAATCTAACGGACTTATGCATAAACGGAACAAATATTAAAGTTATATTGTCTGAACAGAATATAAAATATCAGGACAAATATCAAAGTTACATCATCTGAACAGAATATAAAATATTTATAAGGTCAAAATAAGTTATAACAATAAGTTTTACATCATCTGAGCAAATTTAAACTATTTATAAGTCAAAAATAAGTTAAGAGTCATAGATTTCCGTTTAAACTGTATTTCCAAACTGAAGTATTAAAGAAAGCTTAAAAATATTATTAGGTAGGGTAGCTATAATCTATATAAAATAAAAGAATAATAATAACCGGCACTCGTCAGCATGATGGTAATAAAAAAAAGCAAATGGCCGATCTATTGGCTTTCTAACGAAATCCAGCAAAGTGTTAAAATATAAGTTAAAAGAAACATTACCTGACAATTATCCCAACATTAACACACAATAAGCACATACAAAAGACAAGATAATTACGGAAATCTACTCATAGTAGCTATTTATCGGCACACACTACCACATTGAACTCGATAAACCAAAAAGAATGACCCAGGCGACAGCAGCGGTGTTTTATAGTTCACTAGC